GCAGCAGCACACAAAACCACGCACTCTCTGCTCCACAGAAAAACCTCTCTCCACGGAACTAGTCCCTGGTGCCCAAAAGGTTGGGGACCTCTGATCTAAGGCCAACCCAGCCCAGACAGGACTGTTCTAGAGCAGACATTTGAGCCACATGCTATCAAGGATGTGCTCAGAAGAGTTGCTTGATCCATGCACAGGATGTGTAAGGCTTTGCTTCTTCAACATTCTGCATTTGCTGATATTGAAGCTGGAACGGCTGGCTTTGCTTACATGCCCAACACTCAAACTCTTAGAAGACGGGCAGGAAGCAGCAGGCCTGAGTCAGTGAAAGATGCCGTTGCTGGTGACTCAGGAAAAAAAGTTTCCAGGTCTCCTAGTGACTCAGAGCCAACATGGAGCCCTTCTTGCTGGCAACCTGTTGGGGAATCCAAAACAAGGAGTCGTGCTGGCTGGGGAACTCATGTCATACCTGGAACAGGTGGGGGGGAGGAAGAGGAGAGGGGGAAGTCCCTTCTAGTCTATCGAGTTCTGCTCACAGTTTCACTTGGATGCCAGTCCTTTCCTTAAAGCCATCTTCATCACGGCTGCACAATCTTTCAGAAGGGAATGTTGCAGAGGGGAAGAGTTCCTGGCTGGCTGGCTACAGATGTGACCCCACCCAGCTGTGTGGCTGAATGAAAACTCCGTGCATTTGTCCTGGAGGCTGCTGGGCATTGCAGTGAGGCAGCATGGGGAAGGGGAATCAGAGCTTCCCACCACTTTCCATCAAAGAAAATGCACATAGATATATATTTGCTCTATCATAAATGATGCAGGATGGAGGCCTTCATTTATAGGTGGTGGCTGATCAAGACGGGAAGCAAAAACTTTCTGACATGCAGCATGCTGGGACTTTCCATCTGCACTGACCGTGGCAGAATCACACCCAGGGAACGTTCACTCTTCTCCTTAAACCCCTGACGGGCCTTCATCTCACCCCCAGCTTACGATGAGATGGGTTGAAGTTGAAGTTGTCCTGAGCTGGGCTCTGGTCTTGAACCTCCCTCCCCTTATTTTTTTTCTTTTTTTCTTTTTCTTTTTCTTTCCTGCCTGTCCCTCCCTCCCTCCCTCCCTCCTTCCTTCCTCTCTCATTCCCATCTCCTTCCTTCCTTCCCCATCTCNCCTTCCTTCCTCCCTCCCTTCCTTCCTCCCTCCCTTCCTTCCTTCCTTCCTTCCTTCCTCCCTCCCTCCCTTCCTTCCCCATCTCCTTCCTTCCTTCCTTCCTTCCTCTCTCTCATCCCCATCTCCCTCCCTCCTCTTTTCAATCTTCCTTCCTTCCTTCCTTCCTTCCTTCCTTCCTTCCTTCCTTCCTTCCTTCCTTCCTTCCTTCCTTCCTTCCTTCCTTTCCCATCTCCTTCCTTCCTCTCTCTCATCCTCATCTCCCTCCCTCCCTCCCTCCTAGAGAAAAAGGGGCCCAGCCAGCCCTCCTTACCAGTCTGGAGTTGTAGAGGGGTGACTTCATGGGGGAAGGCATTGGACAGCTGATCCGTTTTTCCTTTTGTCTTCGGTTGCAGAACCAGACTCGGACCACTTCTTTTTCCATGGCCAGCTGTTCCGCAATCAGGGAGATTTCCTCCGAGCTGGGCTTGGGGTTCTGCTGAGAGAAAGTCAACAATAAGAATGGATGGAAGGATGGAGCAGAGCTACCTTCCCCGTTCTGTGCTAAGGAGATTAAGAAAGGAAGGTGTCGAGTCCAATTTCTAGGGTCCTTTGCCTGCCCGTTTTACAGAAGCAACTTTCGGTTGAGCCAGACGGAAAAAGGAAAGCAGGATTGTCTCTCCTCTATCTCCAAGCATCTCCTCTGGCAACTCACTGCTTCTTCTTTGGGCTGGAAACCGTCCTGAGTTTAAAAGAGGGACAGACTTCTCCCTGCTGGCCCATTTCCTACATACTGGCTTGCTTTTTGTCTGTGGTGTCTTTCTCCTTATCCTTGCTGGCCAACATGCTGCCAACAATGGTCAACCTTCATTCAGCTCTGAGCATCCCTACCAGGACCTCTGCTTATTTCCCCTCAAGGACAGCCATGCTTACGTCCTGGAACCGTTTCTCCAGCGTGGAGCGAATGTTGGTCTCAATGCTGGTTCGTTTCTTTCTCTTGCGTCCAAACATCTCACTCACAGAGGGGTAGGAAGTGGGGCTGCTGACGGACGAGTCCAAGGGGGAGGATTCTGTGGAGGGGGGATGGGAGAAGAGGCAAGCCAATTTTTTTTTTTTTTGTCATTGTAATTCACTTTGTCTAACTAAGAGTCCCTTCATTCCCTCTGAATGTTACAAAGGGCAGATCTGAGTCTGTCATTGTGTTTTTCTGGACTGTTCAACGTGACATTTCAGCAAGAGTCCTAAAGATTACGAAAGTTGGCATATTCTAGGATTCTCTGGCGGCGCATCTCCACATTCCTCTATTTTGCCTGTGTTTGGGGAGTTCAAAACACTCTGCTGACCCCCAGTGGCTCAATGTGCTCATCACAGTCACACAGCCGTTTGGCTTAAGCACATCTGCAAACCTTTCATCGCCCATTTAAGTGCCTTGAATGTGCATGGGTTCTTAAGGTAGTTCTGTAGGGCATTGAAAGGGTGCTTCCCTCCTTCCGACCCACCCCCCAAAATAATGGAAAATATCCAATGAGCAAAGAGATAGAAATGGAAGAAAGCAAGGGAGGGGGGAAAAAGGGAGGAAAAAGGCATTGACTTCCAACTTCCTCTGGTGCAATAGAGTATCAACTTCAAACCTCAAGTTTTTACTTTCACAAAATAATATAAACTAGCCATTTCGATAACATTAAATCTATCTAATTGGTAAAGCCCACAATCAAAATTTCATTCCCCCCCACCTTAAGCACGCTTCTCTACTCCCTTTTCCCTTCCCCATCTTTCCCGCTATTTACTTTGTATTTCGATTGTATCGTATATTATAAACTAACAAAACTTTAAAAAAGAAAAAGAAATGGAAGAAGGCAAAACATTTTTTTCTTTTAAACATCCTGTAATCCCTTGCGTTGGAGCGGCGTTGGGGGCGACTGAACAGAGCTGAGCATTTGCTGGCCAGATGCCCTTCCTGACACCTATAGAGAGCTCATAGCAAATATATTCGCTTTGTGCCCAGAGAGAAAAATTATCTGCCACTACCTAGGATTGAACTCTAGGCCGCCACGCTGCTCTGAAGAAGGCAGAACTTTATTGAGCCCCTTAAATATATAAATATATATAAATATAATCATACCTGCATCACTCAGCCATTTCTCCAGAAGTGGTTTTAGCTTGCACATGTTCTTGAAGCTCAGGTTGAGAGCTTCAAAGCGAGAAATTGTGGTCTGGCTGAAGTCATTTCCATAGAGTTTCCCCATAGCCAGACCCACATCGCCCTACAGAGAGGAAAAGGTGTCAGAAAATGGACCAAAGCACCTGGGAGAGTGAGATCCTGATGTTATTGGCTGAACATTGCATAGGATTCTTCTCTTATCATGTTCCTTTTGCGGGAGCATCGTCTTAAATCCAGGGCCATCTTCTTTTTGAGTACATTAAATATTAGTTATACTGTAACATATCATTGTGATAGAATGATGTAACAGGGTTAATTACGATCTGCTAATTATACACGCTATTATAGTACTGTAAAGCCACAGACTATCTTTGTAAGGAGCATGTGGGTACAAATTAGAAAAATAACTAAATAGGGGGAAAACTAATCAGAATTAACAGATTATGTATTTGTTGTAAAAAAAAGTTCTTCATTGATTAAGCTTCAGGTCATTTACAAGAACAAGGAAAGGAAGAAAGAAAAAGAGGAAGGAAGAAGGAAAGAAATGGAGGGAGGGAGGGAGGAAGGAAGGAAGAAGCAAGAAGTAAGGAAGGAAAAGAATGGAGAGAAAGAAGGAAGGAAGGAGAGAAGGAGAGAAGGAGAGAAGGAAGGAAAGAAGGAAGAAGAAAGGAAAAGAAAGGAAAGAAGGAAGGAAGTGAGGGAGGGAGGGAGGGGGCAGGGAGGGAGGGAGGGAGGAAGGAAGGAAGGAAGGAAGGAAACAAATGTGCAGGACTCAATTCAAGGAGAGTCAAAGGCTTGGGCCAGTGGCGTCTCCAGAGAAGGTCCAAAAAATCAAGATGGCGCGCCTCTGTGACTTAAACTTTGGCCCTTTTTTCCATGCCCTGCACGTGTGTCCTTTCCTGCTATTTCACTTTTCCCTCTTAGCACAGATCTGGAAGGCTTCCCCTGGTGCCCCTGCACTGCTGCACTTGGGAGCAGAAAGGCCTTTTCCTCTAAGCAAAGGTATGTGAATTGTCCAGGTGAGACCTCTCTCACCTGCGTAAACCCCAGTTTGATGCGCCTCTGCTTAAAAGTCTTGGCAAATTTTTCCAGCTCTTCCAAATCATTGGCTTCATCTGTTGCCATGGAGGATGACAAGTGTTTGGCCACTTGTAAGTGTTGAGGGGCCTCCAGGTGAGGCTCCAACGATGACCCAGGGTGTCCAGGACGTCCCATGGCCTGTTAAAATACAATCCATTGTGGAATTGTCATTGTACTGCCGCTGCAACCCATCCTTCTCCAACCTTTGACAACCTATTCCAGAATTCCCAGCCACATGGGTCCAGACCAGTGGTGGGATTCAGCCAGTTTGCACCAGTTCGGTAGAACCGGTAGGTAAATTTTGCTGCATTCAGAGAACCGGCTGGCTTCCAGAAATCCAGTCTAGGCCTCGGAGGCCTGGAGTGGGCCTCGCAAGCCTAGAATGGCCTGCTGGAAATGCGTGGATGCCACTTCCAGAAGTCCATTCTAGGCCTCGGAGGCCCAGGCCTGCATCGAATAAGAGAATCCGGTTGTTCAAAAACCACTGGTTCAGACACATCTGGAAGAGCACCCCGTTAGGAGAGCATCATGGGATCTACAGCTGCAGGCCAAACCACAGAGACCTTAAGCTTCTGATGCTCCCGCAAACCAGCCACTACTTTTCAGTCTCTCTTGTTCATGGATGGTGCCATCATGGACGTTCAGCAAGATTGAATCTCATTAGGATTAGGAAATCTATGGAGATTCTCAATCCTCCAGGTCATGGTTGCCCCAAAGGTACTTTTTTCCCCCAAAGGCAACTTCCCTTCCTTGGTTTTTGTTTTCTTTGAAAGTGTTTTGCTTCTCATCCAAGAAGCTGAACCGAAGAAGATTCTTGGATGAGAAGCAAAATGTTTTCAAAGACACCCCCCCCCCCAAGAAAGTCCAGTTGCCTTTGGGACAGGATTAAGAGGATGTCTATCAGGAAACCTCAGGTTAAGTAGGATAGACTGAGAAGCTGAAAATCATCCCAGCAAGAGTAAAGCTATTTCTGTAGTATTGGCAAGAAAAGTCCTTGAATGGGTCCCTATAGTTATCAGGCATCCAACTCAAGTTAAAGAAGACCTTCTTTTGAGTTCCATGATCTTAATCTTCTGGGGCATTTTAATGAGCTATTGTGCCCTGCAGACTTTTCAGAAGCAGAGGCAGACACCGAGACAGACAGAGAGAAAGAGTCAGAGACAATGCACTTAAACTGTGAGCAGGAAACTGGTTGTGTCAACCTAGGCTTGGCAATAGGATTATGAATCCTGCAAGGTGAAAGATTTCATCACTGGCACTTTTTGTAGCATTGGGGGATGTGCTTATATAACTTTGAACATTTGAAAATCCAAGGAGAAATATGGACCTCTTCAAAATATGGGCTGGAACTGCCGATTGGATTTGGCTTAGAAGAACTCAAAATAACAGAGTTGGAAGGATTTGGGGATGGCTAGTCTAGAGAAAAGATGGACTAGGGGTGACATGATAGCAGTATTCCAGGTGTAGGGTCTTCTGCTTGAGCAGGGAGTTGGACTAGAAGACGTCCAAGGTCCCTTCCAGCTCTATTCTGAATTTTTAAGTTAGAATTTAGAAAGGGACAGTGGAAGTCCTCTAGCCCAGGAGTCCTCAACCTTGGCAACTTTAAGACTTGTGGACTTCAACTCCCAGAATTCCTCAGCCAGTCTTAAAGTTGCCAAGGTTGAGGACCCCTGCTCTAGACCAACCCCTTGTTCAAGTAGAAGACAAGTGGCTGTCTTCCATTCCAGACAAGTGGCTGTCCAGTCTCTTCTTAAAAGCCTCCAGTGATGGAGCACCCACAGCTTCTGAAGGCAACTTCCATTCCATTGGTGAATTGTTCTCACTGTCAGGAAATTCCTTCTTAATTCTAGCTCGGTTCTCAGTTGAACAGAATTTCAGCAAATGACAACCCTTATAATGACAACAGCAGCAAGTCAACAGATGGGACTTACCTGAGATGCTAAGCTGTGTCCATGCTGTGGGAGCAGAAGCCCACTTTGCTGCTGAGGAAAGGAGAGAAGGTTTGACTGGAGAGCTGAAAGAGATGGAGGAAAATTTTGGTCAGATAGTTCGGCTCCACCAAGTCCAACCATATCCAGATGCAGATCATTGTCCCATATCCCCAATTTTACAGTCTCTTCTCCCCTTATTCCATTCCCTTGGTGACAAGGCGTCTCTTGCCTTCTCTTTCCCCAGTGCAACATTTCACAACTTGGTTAGTCATCTAGTGAAAGATGCTTGTGCAAATTAACCTCCCCCCCAGCTCACTAATACAAGTTGGAATTGCTCGAAATGAAAAATAGAGTGATTCTGTGGGCCGGAAATGAAAGGGTCACAGCAGAGAGTCACTCTTGACTTCTGATTGTTGCATCCCGTTGTTTTAAATTCAGAAGTAAAGTTTGTTATGTCTGGCGGGCTTAATCTTAAGAAAATGACCTAGAATTATAGGTTGTCCTCCACTTACAACAATTAATTTAGGGACCATTAGAAGTTGCCAGGGCACTGAAAAAGTGACTTACGACCATTTTTCACACTTACGACCGTCGCAGCATCCCCACGGTCACATGATCAAAATTTGGATGCTTGGCAACTGGTTCGTATTTATGTCGGTCGCAGTGTCCCAGGATCACGTGATCCCCTTCCGACAAGCAAAGTCCATGGGGAAGCTAGATTCACTTTACAATTGTATTGCTAGCTTAACAATTGCAGTGATTTACTTATTTTGGGCTCAATTGTAGCATCTACCCACCCCCAGGTTGCATTACAACTCCCATCACTCCCAGCCAGGTTGGAGCAAGTTCAGTCAAATGCCACCATCCCTGTCTCACAGGCACGTGGCTGTGACAATAAGACAATTTGCTGGAGGTGACTTGATGACAAAGATGAGGCAACAGCTCCTGAAGTCATCCATGCTTTGAATTGCCTGCCACCAAACAGACAAATTGGCAGGTGTCCTCCTTCTTCATGAGGCCTCTGTTAACACTGCGAATTGTTGCATGAGGTGAAAACAGGTTGGGTGTTTTTATTAAAAAAAGGGCAGCACAGCAGAATCTTCAGCCACTGTATGAACTCTTCTGGTTGCACAACATGTGTGACAAGTCAGGACGGTGGTTGAAGACCCACATTTCAACTGTGTTTTGGCTGGCACCCTCGTTCATACTTTTTCATCCATAATTTCTCAGCCTTTGGGGTATGATCAAGTGTAGTGTGTAATACTTTTTCACCCAACTCATCTCCTTCAGAATAACAGAAGAGTTGGAAGGGACCTTGGAGGTCTTCTAGTCCAAGACTACTCCTATTCAAGCAGGAGACCTAGACCATTTCAGACAAGTGGTTGTCCAGTCTCTTCTTAAAAACCTCCAGTGTTGGGGCACCCACAACTTCTGCAGGCAAGTCGTTTCTACTGGTTAATTGTTCTCACTGTCAGGAAATTTCTTTTTAGTTATAGGTTGGTTCTCTCCTTGTTTAGTTTCCATCTGTTGCTTCTTGTCCTGCCTTCAGGTGCTTTGGAGAACGGGTTGACCCCCTTCTTCTTTGTGTCAGGAAATTTCTCCTTCGTTCCAGGTTGGTTCTCTCCTTGATTCTGCTCCTGCCTGTCACTGAAAACTGACTCACCATGAATTACCTTTGGGTTTCTATTGCTGGCCTGTGTAATCCTGATCTTGCACCTCCTTCAGCAAAACCCTCACTTCACTCCTGATGTCATGTCTCCAGGGGAAAGAAAACAAAACAGAACTGTTGAAACCACCACAGGGCAGGAACTGGTTCGAGTTTCATGCGCCTGGAAACTTGCAAATCAGGGGCACGCTTGTCAGCACAATTAGACTCACAAGTCCTGTGTGGCTCTGCAAAGGCTTGGCGACTGCTCCACTCCATTGTTTAATCATTTTAC